CATATACAATAATACATATATGTATGTACATATATCATCTGCAGATGCGTCGTGCTTTTACCTTTGAAGCTACATAAAGCCGTTTACTATAAACTTACATACTAGTTATAAATAGAGATTGAAATCGATTTTATCGGTGCTTCAAATAGACAGCAGATTTTCCCAAGCATAATTTGCTGGAAAAAATGAGGGAAAGTTAATTCTATAATAACAGTAAGTAATACGTATATAGGTACGTATTTATGTACATACAAATGTCCTTCAAAATGAATTTGCGCCCGCAGAAATTTGTGTATACTGAAGCTTCAGTAAATGAAGTATCTGAAAAATTCCCTACACAATCGATATACATATATATTTATCGATATCAATGATTTATCGAAATAAATTGGTTCTTGATCGATTGATGTACATAAATACCAAAAACTTATCAATTTTGCTATCGATATACTTAACTGATCGGTATTTTTTTCATTTGTGTGATAACATGAAGGTGCACGCCACAAATCGGATGAGAAGCTCGGCCAAGCACAAACATATGTGAGAGCACCAATCATTTATTATTATTGGTTAAGTGAGCAAAATTAGCACATTCCCTACACAATAAATTTATCAATATCAATAATTTAGCGACGCAATAATTTATGGAAACAATAATTGCATCGATCGAAGTATTCAGTGATATTTAATCGACATATTTATACTTATACCGAAACTTTCCATAATGTTGTCGATATATTAATCGATATGTCTATAATTATCGGTTTTATCAATAGCATATAGAAATATAGAAGAGCCTTAACTAATTACTAAATTTTCAAGTTTATCTCATTTTCTAAATTTTATTTTTTTTTTTATAAAAATATTTTTCATTCAGTAAAAATTTCAAAAAAAAAATTATCAAAATTTCAAACTTTTATTTAGACTTTTTATAAATTTTTTGAATATGCAGGTTTATATTCCACTCATTTTCAGTATAAAAAATGGCAAATTTCATGCTTTTATTTTTGAGATGTTATTTTTTTTTTTTGTTTTTTTGTTGACGGTGTTCTGCATTTTCTTCAATATACGTCCTTTTTCTTTTGAAAGTTAATTGTATCTGAATGCGATGGTAATTCGTTCAATTTCATCAACCAAAGTTTGTTTACCGAAAAAATCTTCTAAAAATTCTGATTAAGAATCTTGAAATTTTGATGATAATTTTTTGAAATTTGTTGAATCTTTGCAAGTTTTGCACAAACTTTGATTTATTTGGTTTATGTTCCTGAATGAACTATATTTAAAAAAAAAAAATTATAATAATTCAAATTCAAAAAATAGCCTAAACATGAAAACATAAACATGGAGGTATTGTTTCTAATGGGTTTTCGGGCTGCTGTATCATGAAAAAAGCAACTGAACAATTTAAATTTTTATAAAGTTGTGTAATTACTCTCTGAAGAAACAAAGATATTAGATAGCGCCTTTCTAAATTAATGTAACAATATTTAAAGTAAACATATTTAGGTTTACCGAGACCAACGATTTCTAATATTTCTAAACCTCAGAATTGATTCTAAAGCAACACACGTCAATAACTATTGAATGAATTTAAATTTTTTGCCTCAATGTGGTATATGTAGTATATTTGTGTGTATGAACATCCAGTGATATGTTTTTGTGCGTGTATGTATGTATGTATGTAGTATTCAATGAAGCAATAACAGCCCATTTTAAACATTTACGAATTTGCGTGAGTGATTTCAAATGCATATACATACGTACATTTACTTGTAGTATGAAGGGTGTACAAACAAATGCGAATTTTTCAGCTTGTAACAAACACATCTGCACACTCATGCACACTCCCACGTACATACATACATATGCACTAATATTTTCATACACACACATAATACATGCTTACAAACGCCTGCAATGGCATTACTATACATTTATTATGTATTGTATTTTGCATTATTTGCGCATGAATTGAAATTGAATTTTCGCTTTACGAACACCTTCACACACATTCATACATATGAGGGCGCAATATGTATGTACATATATACACTCCCGTGCATGCACGCGCGCTCCCACACAAACCAAACTCCAACCAGCATCACGCAGATAACAATGCTTTTGTCAGATTTCCCTTCAAACGCCTGCGTTAAACGCTTAGACATACATACATATGTACATACATTTAGGCGCACGCCTTCCACTCTTTCCGATTTGCTGCCAACGTTTCGCAATGGCAGCAATAGCAACAACAGCGTATGTTATGTGAACAACGAACAAGCCATACGCCATACTCAAACTCAAACTCAACTCAATTCAATTCAGCTCCGCTCTGCTCTGCTCCATCGAATGAATCAAATCAAAAATGTAGTACAAATGCAATTTTCATTATTTCGTCATGTCTGCCTGCATGCTCGCGTGCACAGGAAGGTACGACGAGCGCACAAACAAACACACTCACACATAATGCGTTACAAATGCACAATAGTAGTCGTTATATGTATGTATGTATGCTGATAGCGTATACAAGTGTGTGCGCGTACAAGAGTTGGTTGTGGTATGGGTGTAACTTAATTTTTATTTTATTACATAAGCTCTTAGCTGTTATTATTATGGAAATTGTGAAAGGCGGAAATTGAGTGAGTGCCGGGATGTTAGAAGTGGCGTTATTGGCATGTGGTATATGGTACAAGTAACAAACGCCTTCCCACATTTTACGATTTTCTTTGCTGGCATATGTGCAGATACAACAAAATATATTATACCAAAGAAAGACGTATTATTTGTATTTGTACGAAATTAGGCGACACTTGTCCTTTGTGATAACAAAAGATTATAAAAAGTTCTTCAGTGTTGATTATAAAGTGCGAACCAAGCTACTTCAATCTTTGCCAATTTTGAAATTTTGACAGCCTAGCATAAAATTTTGAAGTGATTCCAACTTTGCATCTCTTAGATAGCTGCGGCGGTAAGTAAATCTCAGAAAAATTTTTAATCTCAACTCACGAATTTCAATCGGACATTGGCCTATCAGAACCGCCACCAAAATCGAGAGCTGTGGCCTTGCAGGCACACGGAGCTTCTTTACTACACCCGATTCACACTGGACAGGAAGGACCTTGAAACTTGGCATGTTTTATGAATTTCACCCAGCATTCGTTGAGCTGTAATAAGGAATCAACTGTCAAAGGGTGAACCACAGAGGTACAACGCAGTTGTCCGTAGGGTGATATGGTTTCCAACAAACGCTGCAGCAATATGAAAGCATGCAGTGAAATGAGATCGTTCTGCCGTGTTTAAAATTTCAATCACAAAAGTATGGAAGCCTCGCTCCGGCCAACCCACCCCACCCATTAATCCCTTGAGGCGGAGTGTATGGGGAAAAAGGTACTGGAAGATATTCCCCAGAGCCTCATTGCATCATGTGGTGTGGCAGTTTTGCCTGGAATGTAAGCAGTCATTATCTTCAGCATGCCGTTAAGGGGCAGAGCGGCAGCCAATTAGCCTAAATGAGGGCTCTAATATACATACAACTCCTTTCTCATACAAATACGAAATTGCCTTACAAATAACTACTTTGCAGCATTAGATAGCAACTGATGACTTTTTCACTATTTTCTGGTAGTTAGATTTCCACGACAGCATCCTATCTAAGCTGAGGCAAATGTACTTGACCTTGTCGGAAATCTGTAGACAAACAACTCTAATCAAAATCGTTGTAAATTTTATAGAAAATAAAACCAGGTTTGTCTTGCTAGTATTGAAGTCGTGAAGCCAAACTTAACCATAACTATCACATCCAGTCCCGCTTTTTTGATGGCTCAAGCATGCCGATTACAGCAACGATCCAGCTCAGAGATGTCCTCGTTCGCCATACGGCTGCGAGCAGACGCTTCTTCACTCAGCTGCGATAGTTCTGTTGCAGAGCAAGTTGTAGATTAGCCTTTTGAGATTAGTTTAAACAGCGAGCGCATCAAATGATTGGTCTATTGCCTACGGTAAGTCGTTGCTAAAAGCTCCCCGATATTGAGGAACACACCCACTGCAAATAATTAGTGCAGGTTTTTCTATCCAATAAATAATTGAAGGCAGAGCTGTATGCAAAGAATTTCCTTTATTTTAAAAATGGAGGTCATATCTCAAAACTTGATAGCCAACCTTTAAAGAAATGTATGCAAAAAACCTGAAAATGTTATAGATAAGTTTAAGAATTCATTAAAAATAAGTGAAACATTTTCTAATAGGAAAAAATTAATGAAGCTTCTACTTTATCGCTCCTCAAATATAGAATTAGGCGATAAATTTCATCATTTTAACGGTACATACTGACCAACTGCATATTTCTTTCCGACATATCTGTCCATGAACCGATCTATCCTACATAGAAGTATGTATATGCGTTCGTTTGTCTGTATTGTATTAGTGCTTGCATTGTGGTAGGCACAGCGCAACGATGGAAAAGCCGCAGCAAAGCAATTAACGTGCCAATGCTAGTGCAGCGAACAACTGCAACAGCAACAATAACAATGCCCATAACCAGCAATAACAACTTTTGTTCAAATGCTTAGCTCTGCCACCAATATCAAGCCAACAACACTTCGGTGTATGTTTGTGTGTGTGTACGTGGGCGCATGAAAGCCTCAAGCGCTGTGTGTATGTATGCGGAAGTGTTCGGGTGGAGGGCTGCACAAAAGCCAACATGTGGCAATAATCGCAGCAATGTTGCGTGCAACTGTCGGCGGCAGTGATTTACATGCGAATGGCTGGGAATCTAATGCGAGTGCTTGTGTTCAGAGTGGGTAAAAATCTATTTCTGTACTTGCATACATATACACATACAATTGTGTGTACATATTATGAGTGTGTCCTTTCGAATTGTTGTTGTACATATTGAAGTGTGCATTTGTGCCGCCATTTTAAAATAGCCAGCGGCATTGCAGGCCATTAAACGTTTCATTTTTCGCCTTTATCTTTACAGAAGCTCAACAGCAACAACAGCAACAATATCAGCAACAACAACAACAACAACAACAACAGGCTAGCAGTAAACATCAACCGAACGGCAATGTCATGACCGGTCTCGGCCCACAGCAACAGCAGCAGCAGCAGCAACATATACGCGCGCCACGCCCACCCATCCGCACTGCCTCGTCCGCACCCAGCAGCGGCAGTGGTGGTGGTGGTGGTGGAGCCGGCACTGGTGGCGTTGGCTCCAACAGCAATGCTGGTATTCTCAATAATCTAGTCGATCAGACGCCATCGAATGGCAGCAGCAGCAGCGGCGTCAGCAGTGCGCCCTCCAGCAAAGGTCACTCACACCATCATCTGCACACGCATGCGCACTCGAACGCCGTCGTTGACAGCATCGGCATGACGACCACAACAACGTCAAGTGGCGTTGGGGTTGGCGGCAGCAGCACACATCTGCAGCAACAGGTGCCACAGGCGGCGATCGATGAGATGCGTGTCTGATAGGTGTCGGTGTTCGAGCTGGAGTTATAGTCGTCTTGGTGAGTAGATATATTTGCTATTCTATTTTTAATTTAAAATTAATCATGTTGCATTTGACCTATCGAAAAAACTAAAAAAAAAAACTACATAAGGACGCCTAATACTGTAACTGATTTTTCTGGAAAAAATTTCTCTCGTTCATTGTCTGCTTAAAGCTGAATAGATATGGTTTTAGTCTTACAGTGGTGCCATGCGATGGAACAGCTGGAAAAAAAAATACTTGCCATTACTTGTGATTAATTTTATACAAACTTTTCATTATTCTTAAGAGCTGCAGACCGCAGACCGTAACAAATTATGACAAGCTACTTTTATTGATAAATACTTGCTGTGTCATCGCCGTTTGTCTGGCAGTAAATACCCGTTTGATTTAGTGTGTCCAAGTGCGAGGCGACTAGCATGCCACTTAATAAATGAGACCTAGCGCCACCTTGTGTGCAATCCCTTTTTGCTCCTATCATTCTACACTTAAGGATTAACCGAAGCCAAGATATTAAAGTATTACTTAAGAAATGTAAGTCAGCAGCTTCGCACATGCTTTCAAAGCCCCCATCTGCATCCCCAAAGAGGCCAAAAAGGTAGCAGCTCTGGAAAATCGGACCTACCAACTAGGTGTTGCAGCGCAGTTTCATACAGTTTTCCAATGCTTCTATTTATAAGCAGAGCAAACCATGACAGTACTAATTACTGTTTAAGCCAGTACACCTATACAACAATTTCGAGAGCCTTTGCAAAAACAATGCTCACACTTACAAGCAGAAAATGCTTGGCAATTTCATAGTCAGCTTCAGTTTTCGGCCAGCACTACTCCAAGAAAAAGGTATGTGTATATGCCCAGTTTAAATTTTCAGGCATTCTTTGCACATAAATAATCTCACAAAGTTTCAGAGGCAGCATATCTCTTCCTAAAACTAGAGAAAGTAGAAGCTACAGTCCTTTGTGCTGTCAATATTGCTTTTTTTTAGATGCTTCTCGTAATTCCCACAGTTCAGGCAATCCAATAACGCGTAACCCTGTTAGTATCTACGAAACCATTGTTAGCTGATGTAGAGTAAATACTCACTCGCTTATCATACGCACATGCGCTTAGTCTGGCGAAGCTGTAGCGCCTCAGCTACGCGCTTTTCCCAATAAAGAAAACATTGCACTCGCTTTCGGCTTCAAGTAAAAACTTAGAACGGGCAGTAAACACAGTAGAAAGCATTCATTTTACCACTTAGCCAAGTCGTTTCTCGGTGAAAACTCCATTAACCGGAGCAGCGCTTATCTCACGTGGCTGCTTGGCTTGTAAGGATGCATTGAAATCAGAAATGCACCAACTGGTGATTGGCGGTGGTGGTGGTGGTGGTAGTGGATAACATGAAAGCACATGGTAGACAGCGTATTTTCAATTTACGCCACTACTTTGCACAGCTGTTGCGCAGCTAGACGCATTCAGAGTGCCTTTGTTATCAACGACTGTACGTACGCCTTTGTTTAACAAAATGAAGTGAAACTACTGGCAGCAAAGCGAGTGAAGTGTTACAGAGAAGCGAGCATAAACCAAAGCGGAGGAGAGCGAGGCAGGCGCGTGTAAAAACGGAAAACAGGAAAACCGAGAAAAGCGAAAATTTAGAGTTTTCGTTTTTCGTTGCATACCCGCGGGCGTCGCGCACTTAAAATTCTTTGCTTGCTGTTTTCTGTTGTTTTTTTTCATGCACTTCGCATCTCTTTGAAATTCTGCAAGCGTAAAAGCAGTTTTCAATTTTTCACACACAAAAGCAGAAACTAACAACAAAAGCACGCGCCAACAAGCATGTTCACTGAGATATGTTTATATGTTTACTGACTATCTAATAGTCGAAATGAAATTTACACAAGCGTTGCCACCTCTTCCGGCGCTTCCATTACCACCAGCCGGCACAACATGGCAGCTCAATTACGCGTTGCAACTAACTTGGCTAGCACCTAAGCATCAGCGCCACCGACAACTGTCTTGACTGGGCTTGAATACATTCCAGCTGCTGCTGCGGCTGTTGCTGTTGCGGCACTTATACCAACTACCGGTTCGTCCCTGCTGCTGGCAGCCTTTGTGCTTGCACTTACTACCTCTTCCGCTTGCTCCGGCTTCCTTTGCCACACTTGAAACAGCATTAAGCCGCTTGCACGCAGCTCACTTTATGGCTGCCTCGCTTCCTTCCTGTTTGGCTTTGCTTTGCTTGGCTGGCTGGCTGACTGGCTCGCTGACTGCCTGACTGCTGTCACTTAACGGGCTGTAGCTGCTTGTGTTCACTCGCCACGCCTAAATTTATGCAATGCATCTCACTTGAATAGCAATTGCAATGGAAATTTGCATCGTGCGACGAAGCGCACACCGGAAACGTCTAGCAGGTGTATGTATGTATGCATGAGGGCGTCACAAATGCTTGCGAAAACAGCGGCAACCGCTAGACGCACACACACACACACACACACACACACGCATATATGCACTGCTTTGAGTGATTGTGGCCAATGTATTTGCATATTTATGTGTGTGTGTGTGGAGGTGTGTGTGTGCGCTCAAACTGTTACCTATTGGCACGCACTTGAAAGCTTTTGTTACACGCTTATGCACTTGGCTAGCCAAAGGCGACGTTGTTTGTGTTTGTCCGCTTAGTTACCGTTACAATACACGCATACAAACACGTTTAAGTAAGTACTCTACACTCGCTTATGCTTGCTTGCTGGTATGTGTTTGTGTTTGTGCTCGCTTCAGTTGCTTTTAGCAAATTTGATCATTTTGCTTGGTTGACTGTCAGCTTTGCATGCGCTGCCGCATGCTTCACACACACACACACACATACCACTAGCACTTTCGCAAACACTCTTCCACACACTTCTCTCACTTCGCTCACTTCCCTCATTCACTGCTCATTTGCACGCTTTGTGCTCTTCACCTTTTCCCTTTCCTTGTATCTCTACCTACATATCTGTTTAACGTTTCAGCTCGTTGAGTCGCATCAACAAAACAAAAGCGACGGTAAAAAGCCACTGGAAATGACAAAATTATGAGCTGCTTAGAATTTTCTCTTCCGCTTTAACACTCCGTTAACTCCCACTTGTTGGCAAAGTTGCATAATGTGTAACGTTTTTTTTTTCACTTTTTTTGGCTTTTGTTGATTTTGCTCCACACTATCCGTTGTGTCGTTGCACTTTACAGCTAAGTTGTGCGCTTGATTTGCTGCCAGTCAGCTATCAGTCATCGCTTGGCGATGAAATTTAAAATTCAGTATCAAAGCTGTGAGCGGAAAGTGTGGAGCGCTAGGTGATTGCACCAAGTCATTTTTGAGTCACTGAGTGTTCACTTTCCTTACTTTGAGTCAATTTTTAAATATTTTTCTACGAAAATTTCTGATAAGCTTAGTTTCACTTGATCGATTCTTGGTTAGCGGGACAATTGAAGGTATCACAGGAAAAGCATGTTTAATGATTAATTAACAAAATGTTCAATGATTAATTAGCAAAACTCAGACTGCAAACCATGTTGACCGCACCTAAGCTTTCATGAGGACTATCCCTACTATAAAGATCTGCAACACTTACCTAACTTGGTCGCTTTACGAAAATGCTATATGGTCAGCATTTAACCAACTGTAAAAAATCCAATTAAAGAAACTTTTTTTAAAAATTGCTCGCAAATGGTGGAACTTACGGGGTAAAACTTTGATTAAAACTACTACTTAGAAAAATTTTAATGTTGCTATTGGGTAGCAAATTCTCGTTGGAGCTCAATGAAAAAGGCCCTGAAAGCTGATATTCAACATGCCCACATATGTATAAACGATGGTAAATGGAAAGCCAAAAACCTAGTGCTCCAAGTTGCGTTGATTAATGGTCAACTAAGTTTTAAGACCAATTTCGATTGTGCATCTGAGAAGGCATGGAATTTGCCCCCGCATGCATGTCTAAAATTATGGCCAACAACTATGGTACGCGTAAAAGTATTTTTTATAGTAAATAAAATGCTTAGCTTAGTCTTACTTTATGCTGCTTTGTTTCAGGCCGAAGCAATAAGTATAGAATGATACGCGAAGAAAAAACAAAGCCTTTTATCGTTTAAGGGCTTTTGACGAAACATCCTTCCGTATTGCCGGGCTGACGCTAATAGACATTCTCGCACATGAGATGAAATAAAGACACACACACTTCTATCTAGCAGAAATGATAGCACGAATAAGAAAATGGCATAAAAAGGCTCCAATGTTTATCTCAAACGCAGTTTTGTTCGAAACATTAAATAATAAGTAATAGGATTAAAACTTATACCAGAAAATGGATGAAAAGCTCGGTCAAACACTTATCTGCGTCAAGTAGCCACTTATTTTTTTTAGCCTTGCACAGATCCATTTGTACATGAGGAGAATGAATCTGCGGTAATCCATTTTCTTGTAGCGCTCTTTTCGCCAATGCGGATGGCACTTTTTTCCATGGACGCCTAGGGATCCTGCCGCTTTTATAACTTTTTTAGGTCCCGAGTTCGATTTCTGGTCCGAGCAACATCAGAAAAAAAAGTTTTTTCTAATAGCGGTCGTCCCTCGGCAGTCAATGGTAAACTTCCAAGTATATTACTGCTGTGAAAAAAGCTTCCCATTAAAACTAATTACTAGAATCTAGTACTAGTAATAATCTAAGATGGGTACGCGACTTCAATTAAACGATTTCATATGGAACGACTCGAATAGAAAACTGATTGGTAAGGGAATCTATATAAGTACTTCTAAGCTCTTTTCCTGTAGTCTCCAGTGTTGCCACTTAAAAATATTTTTAAGTACCAAAACGACTACCAAATCAATTTCCAAACTACCATACTTTTTTCATCATTAAAACGTGATTTCTCGAGTTTGCGGTGTTTTTAGCTACACAAATTAGCAGTAAAAATTAAAACTACACATAATATTGTTTACAGTATTGGTTAATTATTCACACCAATCTTTAAGATTAAACAAAATAAATTCGGGCCTTTAAATAAAATAATTAA